TGCGTCGCGGATCTGACGACGCCGACTGTATTTTCCTGCTACGTACACGGAGGTTTTCAGGGGGGAAATGTTGGCCATTGATAGAGACAGTCCGCCACTACTGACTCTCCAGGTTTGTGTAAGAGGTTGAGACGTAGACTCTTAGGCATTTTGAGACTGCCGAGGAGTGTTGTGCTAGGAAGAATGGCGTGGTTGAAAAGAGTGAGACAGTGGTCAAGTGAGATGGAATGGAGCCTGCACGTTTGAGTGTGGTTCCGAGAGCATCCTTAGATGCTCGCTCGTATTGATGTTGAGTGCTCTTCATGTACTGACTCCGAGATTATACCTTCGCATATCATTTCTCCATCATAGATACCAGGGTAGAGGGTCGTATATCTTTCACATCGCCTTCGACAATGAGATTAGTCATTTAGACCGCGACTCGAGGAAGTCCCGGCCTTGGAAGTGAAGGTGCAACCCATATATTGTAGTCAGCGTCTGATATGTCAGTTATGAAATATGCCTTTGGAGCACCGTTATTGGGACTATGAATGTCGAATTTCCTGTCTGATAGCAGCGTAGCTGTTGTTTCCAAAAGTAGGGGCGTCCTGTGCATGTCCTTCTTTCGAAAAGATAGATTGTGCTCTATTGCTCGGTCAGGTGAGACCAAAACGTACTCTCAAAGTGTTTACAGATGATGAATCTTTTGCCTAAGAGTCTGCAAATTTTCCCATTTTGCACGAAATTGTTCAAGTGTTCCAGCTACGAGACTGTATTGTATGGAGAGCAGAGTCAGGGTGAGCCATCGAGAGATGAGACTGGGACTCGGTACAACTTCTGGAACTTCAGGGTGAGTTGCAAAAACATCTCGTGATGTAAAAAATTTCATGACTAGCATGTATTTGGTAAATCGCTCCAAGATGATCCTATTGGAGGTTCTTACAATAGCGCTTGCTCGAGTGTAGCTCATTTAAATCGACTCTTACAATGTGAGGCTCGTGGCTCACACTTGGAGGATATCTTGATTGAGCAATGCACGACTTGGAGCTTTCGGAGGTCTACTTGGACGTGTTGGTATCGGACGGCCTTTGAGCTTGTTTTTCCAAAGCAACGGACATATTATCGTACGCATATCGATATTTCCAGCTTGTTAACTGTAGCAAATTCTGTAGGATATGTGTGCCATGCAGTGTTTGTATACCTAGGAAAAGGGATGAATACTTATGCCGCTTGTCAAGCTATCATCAATCTCGAAACTTGCTTTTTCAAATTTTCAACATATAACTCTGAGCTCGGATACGCGGATATTGTCACAGTATCACGCTTTAATACTTATTAATCAGTTTTCAACGAGCGAGAATACTAGGGGCGGAAAATATCCTGGGAGCAAATAGTATAAAAACAATTACGCAAGGTACAGACCAAGGACGAGGCAAGGGAGACTGCAGAATATGAAATTGCCCCTTGGCGTAGATTCTACTACGTAGAATACTACGTGAAAAGCGTGAATATTTATTTAAACCTTAAGGTATCTTCTCAGTTACCAAGAATAAGACCTGGTCAAACACAAGTTTAGCAGTGAGGTTGCTCTCCGATGATTGACAAGCCAGTCTAACCCGAATCAAGTTTAGCTGCCATCCAAGCGACTCAGATTCGCGGGGTGGAGTGGAAATAAATCTGCTCGGCCTTTGTCAGACGAGCTGCTCCTCGTGAGCCTCATCTTTTGACAACGCAGTCCGCTCCTCGCCCCTCCCGACTGTCCTCTTCATCAACGCGCGACTCCCCAGAGGCTACATGTCCAGCTCCTTGGTCCATGTTAATCTTGGGGACGCCTCTAGGACCAAGTAACGAAGATCAAAGCAAAGCAACTACTGTACCGTAGCAACTTCTACTTGCAATCAATCATGGCACCGGCGACCGCCTCGATGCCTCTGCAGCAGATTCAGAATCGTCCTCGTACGAGAATGGTCGTACCTGCGATCCCTTTGCCATACGTGCAGAAGCGTCAACAGCAAGAGGCCGCGCGCGCCAAAGCAAAGCTAGAAGCTGCAACTCCTCCGCCCGTGGTTGAAGTTCTCCGTTCTCCAACACCACCATCGCCCGTAGTTGAAGAGATCACTCCCCCTATCGCCAATGGCTCTTCTGATGGATATGTGTCTGAGAAGACAGAGGAGGCCGTTGAGCGGGCTTCGCCTTCGGTACCTGACGCCCCTTCGCTGCCTGCCGTTGAGAAAGAAGCTGTTGTAGAGGAGTCAGAGGTTCCTTCTCGAGAGGAAGCACCTGGTAAGCAAGCAGCATATGATATCTTCTCTCAGTCGGGATCGGACCTAATTCGGTTTGCAGAAGAGTCGCAGGAAACCCCAAAGACGACCCCATCCGACGGGCAGTCATCTGCATCTCGTTCAACTTATCAAATGCCCCCTGCTTTCATCCCAGCCCAGAATCAAACCAATGGCCACACAACATCTGCCAAAAATGCGTTCGACGGTCACCATGCAATGCACAATTCACACCCAAGTGTCGGCAATGTTATGTTTGGAGGCTTTCCTGACTCAGAGAGATCGTCCCCCGCACTTCAATCGTTCACGAACAATCCTCCACGATACGAATACCCACAAAACAATGTTCAAAGTGGATATGTGCCCCCTCACTCGCAGGCTCAGTCAAACGGATTCAATCCTGTTAATACCTATCAGATGGCCCCTCAGTTTCCCCCTGGGTTCTATCCACGCCCAGAGCACCATGATAACCACGCTAGGCGACAGATGGTCTCTTTTGGCCCTGCTGATGGATACTCTCCAAGCGCGACACCTGGCATAGCAGACCCACGCATGAACTTCGATCCATCAACCCCACACAGCTATCATGGTTCTCAATCATCGGTTGCTAATGACCCAGACATTCCCGCTTTCTACAGCCAATATCCTACAGCAGTCATCTCCAATGGCAGCAATGGTCACATAGATCAGGTTCGTGTATATCAAGCCCAGCCAAAGGTAGTCGCTCCCCACGCAGTATCCTCGTCACCGGGCATGTTTGCACCCCCAGGATTGCAGTCTATAGATAATTACGACGGTCTTCTATACTATCTTCAGCAGCAGTTTGCAGATCCTACTTTTGCGGACTACACCCTCGAGCTTCGCTACTCAGATGATCGTGCCGAACCCGTTCGTATCCCTGGTCATAACCTGCTATTCGCCCGCAGTTTGACCTTGAAGAACCTGATGACCACTCAAGCACGAGAGAGCAACAATGATGGCCAAGCTGTTCGAACTCTCTTGATTGAGTCAGATGATCGTTTCTTGTGCTCGGATGGTTTCTGGATGGCTGCTCATAGACTGTACGGAGCTCCTCTTATGGAGGTCAGCATGCACGGAGACGTGAATGCCGAATCCATTGGTCCACCAAGTGCTCGCTTTGACCTTGCACTTGGCTATGCAGCAGCCGGAAAGCTGTTGGAGATCCCACCCGTCACTGCACGTGGTATTGAAGTCGCCAGCCAGCTCCTCAATTGGAATACTATTGAGAAGGCTTTCGACTTTGCACTAGACGGCGGCCTTGATGCTCACTGGTCTGCTGGACCTCCCGGACTTCGCGCTGCTCCTCACAGGGCTCCGACTTATAGCCCAATGTCGAACATTCTGATTCACCACTCCCTGCAATTTATAATTTCGAGCTTCCCTGCAGGTTTCGTTCTTGACCCAACCGTTGGAGAGCCCACACACAACCGTCGCCTCCCGAAAGTGCCTCAGAATGGCTGCAAACCTCGTCTCAGCGCCATCAAGTTTGGGGATCATCCTTCCGAGGACAATTCTCGAACCGTATCCGAGAATCCTGCAACGGCTACACTCTCCAAACTCCTCATCAACCTACCTTGGGATCTCTTAAAGTACATCCTCGATTCTCCTCGTTTGGGCAACGTTCAGGGCTGGGCGACCACCGTTCTCCGTCAAAGCACCATGCTTGCGGTCATTGAGGAACGTGAGAGACGCAGAATTAAGGTACGCGAGAGCTCAAACGTTTCCAACGATGATCGTAAGGCCCATGACAAGGACTGGGTTGTTGTTGGATGGATGGAAAAGATCAATAAACCATCTGGCAAAGACTCCGTACCAACTCTCGCTCGGACCTGGGTAGACTTCACGCTCCCTAGTCTCGATTAGAGTAACTTTCCGCATGTCACAGCCGAACAAAAAGTAATGATCTGGGCGGGGCATAAATTCTGCTTTTACTTTGAAAGCGCATTGGCGTTGCATTGAAAATGATCTAGTGGTCAGATTTTCGACCAGAATCGACTACGACTTCGTATCTCCTGATTGAAATCGAAAAGTCGCAAAAAAGGAAGAGTACTCAGTGTAACTTCCAAACCCAAAATGGGATCCAGGCGGCAAAAATCTACCAAGGCAGTTTTCCTAGGGAATGGCTTTTCTCCTCGTTTATCGGGGGAAGCGGCTGCCCTGGGCTTCAATAAGATGTGAGGCGTTGCTTGGGATCAGCATATAGGGACATTATTGCTTAGGTACTGCTCTTGGTAGATGCAGCAGAGACGGGAGGATGACATTATAAAGGGTATTTGAGTTATGGAGGTGAGGGTAGCATGATGAAATTAGCATAATGTGACTACGCTGGCGTGCTTGGGAGGAAGGCATACAGATGATTGGGACGATGGCAATCAAGGGACCGCTCCACTTCCTCGAAATGTGTACGGCATCATATAGGTAGCTTACCTGGAGTGGTGGTATTGAATACATGCGAAACTTCCCCTGATGATTTCCTTACATTGCCCTTGATACTGCTTTTCGTGATGCTACAGCATCCAAGCCTGGATGATATCTACTTGTATTCGATTGATGCTAATTCCGCCTAAGCATCTCGCTTAAGCCCCTCCGCGCGCCACGCATTCCCGTCCACTACTTTTTGCTCCACACACAAGGTACAGAATCTTCGTGCTAGGTTGTCTTAAGCTATCTAGTATGAAATAAGAACCTAACCAAGTATCCAACACAGATACCAATGATGATTCCGCTATGGTGTAACGGTCAGCATACTGCCTTTTCACGGCGGAGACCGGGGTTCGATTCCCCGTAGCGGAGTGAAAAAAAAATTCCCTTTTGTATTTTTGCCACTTCAAGCATCGCCACCGGATGTTCTTTACCTATCAGGAATTTCGTAAATGAACAGAGCCCTTCATATTACAGCTGTATATGATTTTCGATGACACCACGCTTCCAAGAGTTTTTGATGTTCGATGAAGATTTCTTTCCGAACAGTGATAGCTTCTTGCTGGTCTTTTACAATGGCTCGCTTATTCTTCCTTATAAGTCTGCCCGCCGAGGCAAGGTAACGAAAGGTTCCGACTTCGCAAGTTTATGAGGACTTGAGTTGCGGCGTTTATCAGTGTTTACATTCGGAAATTCAGTATAACAATCGGCTCCAATCGATGGTAATTGACTTGAATATATGCGCTCAAGTCGAATATAGCCCAATTGAGAAGTCGTTGGTTGGCCTGATCGGGACCCTTGGCATCTAAAACATGTTTGTTACCTAGGTAGTTCAAAGGCAGTGTAGCGAGAACTTCCTGGGTCGTCATTATCCTATTGAATGGCCTCCATTCTTCTGCTTTACATTCACGATCGCAGGTTCGGATTGCTTGGATGCTTGCCATTCCAGCGTATTGTTCTTTTTATCCTTTGATATCTCCAGTGCTGCATGATATCTGGATCAGCCAAAGAAAGGTACGTACCTCGGGAGCTTGCTAAATGTTGGTATCATTCTGTAATTTTACGTACAGTTGAGTAGTCTCACTTGAATCGGATACAGTAATACAATCGTTTGTAATGTTACTTCTATGGTGGCTGTAGAACCAAAGTAGTCGAGACTCCGGAAGGGAAATATATCTGGCCCGCTCAACTCCAGCGCAGATACTCGGCGACCCGTGACTATGGACCGGACCAACACTAACCATCGGCACGAAATGTACCATACGAAAGAATGATCATGATGAGCGGCTTGATCCTTGTACTAGGGTTCGAAGTCTCCCGAATTCGATGACAATGAACTATTGGGCTTCAGCGGATTTCCTTGGAATTACTATTTATTCCGTTCCGTTATATCGCCAACACCGACGATGATTGCTAGGTGGCATTTCGCCTGTAATCAGGTGCCTGTACCCCCCTTCATAATCTCGATCCTGACTTGACCTCGTGGCTACAGCCTCCCGCTGAGTATTCACTGCCCATTTGTCTCTACCTTGCAGATGAGGGGAACACAACATCTTAAGGCCCGGGTTCCGGTGAGTGTTGGAAGAACAACAAAGCGATGGCATGGCATGTATAAGCTCAACGGCGAAATGTTGGCTTTGTTGGCTTTGTTGGCTTTCTTGGCTTGGTTCCAGAGCCAGAGGAATGTTCTATGGAATGAATATTGGTGGCCGTCCCGAAAATACCCGTCGTTGTCCATTCCAGACGAAATTCGGTCGATCAAAGCATGCCAGTGCTGACGGCGCCCATACTTTTCTCAGTATATCGAAAAGTAAATCGGAAATCCGGGGAAAACAATCATGTCCTTTACAAGCCCACTACTGTGTAATCTGTCCCTTCCGGAGAGATTCAATTCACAGGTGTTCTCTGAATAGCAATAGAGTTTCCAGCCGCCCCTCGAACACGAGGTCCTCGGCTTGCCACAATGAGTGTTTTCGCCGGTGCTGTCTCACCTGATCTCACACGACCAAATCTACTTACTTTAGCTTCCAGAAAGATGGAGTAAACCCGAATCTTGGAACAAGAAAAGGCACATGACCAGCAGAATCCAATGCAGCGGAACCCAATGAGATGCCGTCTCCGTCAATACAAGCGACGCAAACAAACCTCTCCTCACCCGCAAACCTTCGCAGGATACGCCAACTCGCCGATGAACCACACTGTCACACATGGGAAAGCCTTCATGATATCGAATCTCAGGAAATACCGAATAAAACCCTTCCAAACCTCCTTGAACTGACACCCAAACATCCTTGCATGACAGGTCCCTAGCTAAGAAGTACCCCGGAAAACCCAATGCAGTCGGCGCCTGGCCTCTGATCGGTCCTTTCCAGCTCCCCAGCTCTGGTCACGGTCGCGTCGGTCATTCATCCGTCTTGGCTGGCTATAATTCGGTAGCCGAGGCGCGCTGCTCTTGGCGGCTCCTGTCTCTACGGCCTGCGGAATGCAAAAGCGGGATTGGCGAGATTGGGTTGAGTTCGAGGTAGATATGGGGATGCGGAGATAGACTGGAGGGAACCCCAGACCCCAGGACAAAGTAAGCTTGAATACAAGTACGACTTGGTACGATAGTACCTTTCGTACCAGTGGCTGGAGATGGCACTGACACTACTAGTGCTGTACTGTACTAGATTAATCGTGAATGGGCTTGGTATGGAGAAGCAGGGCTATTTAGCCTGAAGACAAGCAAGCTCCGGCTAAAGTCAGTAATCTGTCAGTCATGATGATTGCATCAAAATAGTGTTTAAACTTCATCTGCTTGCGATTGAATGGCTGGCTTTGTCCCCGCCATGGTTATTGGCAAGGCATGGCATGGCGCCTAATCAAGCGTCTGAGCTGGAGTGGAGAGTGCTGTGTTGGAGTCATGGATGGGTACTTCGAGGAGCGAGAATGGAGGGGTAGGGGCTCAGCGCGTCAAAGTACCTTCAATACATATGCCCGATAATTCCCTTTGTTCTCCTTCTCCGAACCCTTCTCTTCTTCTCCCATTCATCCCCAAGTTCGCCCTTTTGGGTGGCACAACTCTTACACGAAGGAAAGTCGGCATAGCAGCAACCCGTCCAAGCCGTCAAGATGGTCAACATTACCAAGGGTTCCAAAGTGACTGAGAATGCATTGGGTTTCTCCGATCCAGTCGTCACTCAGATCGCCAATGAGGATCCAGTGAAATGGTTCAAGAAACCAAACTTGAGAATTATGTATTTCTACTTGTTTGTATGCTGTATGGGCGTTGAGATCACATCTGGATTCGACTCTACGCTCATCGGAACTCTTCAATTCTCTGATTCATGGAATGCTTGTAAGTTATAACTACACTCATCTTGCTGCCAATGCAGCGAGGACTGTCAACTGCAGCCATCTAATAATTGGAACAGACTTCAGTGACGGAGCCAGAGACAAAAAGAATGGCAAGCCAATTCTCTCTCCTGGACTACTCGGGTTCGTCGCCTCGTGCTATCAACTTGGTTCTATCATTGGAGTTCCAATCGCACCATGGGTCAACCAGCGTTTTGGTCGTAGATGGTCCATCATGGTTGGCTCCACTATCATGGTAATCGGCGCCATCATCCAAGGCCTTGCACAAAATCGTAAGTCTGGTCAATTGCTCCCTTGAAAATACGTCAAGGTCCGACCTCTCCAACCTTTCTCTAATGAAAACCAGTTGGAATGTACATCTTTGCCCGTATGGCACTGGGTTTCGGAATCGTCTTTGCCATTATCTCGGGATCTTCTCTCATTGGAGAGTTGGGACACCCAAAAGACAGAGCTACGTTGACTTCGCTGTTCAATGCCTCATACTTCATCGGATCAATCACTGCTTCTGCGATTGCCATCCGTACGACTAACATCAAGAGCGATTGGAGTTGGCGTATTCCTTCCCTTTTGCAAATGTGTCCATCTTTCTTGCAAATTACGACCGTCTTTTTGCTCCCTGAATCTCCCAGATGGCTCATTAGTCGCGACCGCTATGATGAAGCCCACGCCATTCTCGTCAAGTACCACGCCGAGGGTGACGAATCCTCCGTTCTCGTCAAAGCCGAGATCGCCCAGATCAAGGAAACCATCCAAATTGAAATCGGCAACAGTAAGCAAGGATGGATGGAGATGGTCCGCACATCCGGTATGCGTCGCCGTGTTCTCATTTCCGCCTTCCTCGGTCTCTTCACGCAAATGTCCGGGAATTCGCTGCTATCCTACTACCAAAAGCTGCTGTACGATATGATGGGCTTCACCAAGAAGTCTGTTCAGACGCGCATCAATCTTGCAAACAACTGCTGGAGTTTGATCGTTGCTACGATCGCTGCTTTCACGGTGGCTAGGTTCAAGCGCAGACATATGTTCTTACTTAGTGCCGCGAGTATGTGTATGACTTTCACAGCGATGACTATTTCTTTCCATGCACTGAGAAAGGCTAAGGATGCTGGGACCAAGAATGACGCTGCTGGAATCGCGGCATTGTTCTTCTACTTTGCCTATGCACCTTGCTATTCCATCGGTAACAACGCTTTGACCTACAGTACGTACACTCCTCCTAATCAGGAGACCAATCCCAAGAAGCTCAAAAGCGGAAACTCGCTTCAGTGCCCAGATTCAGACTAACACAAGCCCAGCGTTCCTCATCGAACTCTTCCCCTACTCGGTCCGAACCCGTGGTATTGGGATCGAGCAAGTCTTCGGAAAGATTGGTGGATTCTTCTCCAACAACGTCAACCCCGTCGCGCTCACTGCCATCGACTGGAAGTACATGGCCATCTACTGTGGATGGATCGCCTTCGAATTCTTGTTCATCTACTTCCTGTATCCTGAGACCCATGGCCGTACTCTTGAAGAGTTGGCGTTCTTGTTTGAGGACAAGGCGCTGGCTGACCAGGCCGTCATGGCTGTGGAGAAGCAGATCCATCAAGAGAATATGGAGCCCAGTAAGCAGGCTATTGAGCACACGGAGATTGTGTCGAGTTCAAAGGTTTAAGTTGCTTTTCTGTTGTTGATCTGAGTAGCTCGAAAAACTATGCGAAAGTATCTCGAGGCCTCGATGCTTCGATGCTCCGGGAAGCCGGTCAAGGAGTAATACGGATGTAGCTAATGCCATGAACTGAAACTTTGAAAAAAATACTCGGTATCGATTTGTAGAGTGTATTCAACTGAGTACAGTTAAACATTGCTTGGTCCACGTGCCCGTCAATACTACCATAAATCACTAAACTCTGCTCGCTTACTAATATGCGATGTCTACAATCTATACCCTTGGCACATGTAGTAGGAAAGTGCAAATAAGACTAGCGCGGGTGTATCTAGTCAGCGCCAGAGCTTCTTCCCTAATCAAGTACCTTTCG